CGGCGGGCGGGCGGGGGGGCGGGGCCGCCGCGCTCCAGGGCCTCCCGGGCCTCCGCTCACCGATGCCGAGGGTGACGAAGGCGGCCTGGACGAGGAGCGCGACCCAGCTCAGCGCGTACATGAACCACATCGTCGCCCGCGCCCCGCGCCTCGCCCGGCGGTGGCTGGCCGCGATGGCTCCGCCCGGCACTTCCGGGACGGGCGGAAGTGGTTGGAGGGCCGACGCCGCGGCCGACGCCCCCCTTGTCCCCCACAGCGGCCCCAGGCGGCCGGAGGCGGCGTGGCAGGGCGGCGCTCGCCTCGCTCTCCCAGCCCGGCGCCCGCGGGCGTCCTCGGGAACAGCGCCTCCCCTGCCTACACAAGCAAGCGATCCGGGGCTGGGAGGGGGCCGCACGGAGCAGCGGTGGGGAATGGTGGCCCCTTTATGACTGGTGGACTCCAACTCCCAGAATTCCTGAGCAGCATGGGGAACGATGGTGCTTGGAGGACTTGTGGACTCCGACTCCCAGAATTCCCGAGCAGCATGGGGAACGGTGGCCCCTTTATGACTGCTGGACTCCAACTCCCAGAATTCCCAAGCCAGCATGAGGAACGATGGCCCTTGGAGGACTGCTGGACTCCGACTCCCAGAATTCCTGTGCCATCCTGGGGAGCAATGGGGCTTGGATGACTACTGCTTGAGCATGGCTGGCTGAAGAATTCTGGGAGTTGAAGTCCACCAGTCATCCAAGCGCCATCGGTCCTCATCTCTTTCTTAAAAGTTCATGGAACCACTTTCATTAAGGGAGAAAATCCAGAATCAGTTGCAAGTTTTGTGTGTTTGTGTGTCTGTGTCTGTGTCTGTGTGTGTGTCTGTGTGTTTCCAGAACCACCAGGAGAGATTCAGCCCTTGCATGTCTGTCTGTCTGTCTGTCTGTCTCTCTCTCTCTCTCTCTCTCCCCCCCGCCTATCTATCTATCTATCTATCTATCTATCTATCTATCTATCTATCTATCTATCTAATCTATCTATCTATCTATCTATCATCTATCTATCTGGTTGAGGTAGCTGCCTCTCACCAAAATTGATTCCGGCTAGTGCACAACAATCAAATAAACACATTTATACAAACTACAGTGGTAAAGAAAAAGGGATAAAAACAATCGTTATAAAAACATGGACAATCATTATTAAATGTTAAAATATTTTATTTATTTTACTTATTACATTGGTTTGCTGCCCGTTTCATCAAAAGGCTGCCTCAGGGTGGATTATAACATTGAAACGAAGCCATAAATATTCCAGTAGAGAGAGACAATTCCCTGATGGGGCGCCAGCACAAATCCGTAAACTCAGAAGATTAAAATCTGCGATCCCGGTGTCCGACCCAGATTAGCTTTTGCAACATTATCCTGGGACAAGTCGATTCGCCATCCTTTTTGAAACCATAAATGTATGAAAAAATGTATAAAGTCACATTAAAACTGCAATAAAATAAGAGTTATTGCCAAAGACGGGGAGGGAGGAAAGAGAATATACAGGAGGGGAGGTGGGAACTGCTATTAGTTGATCAATTGCCTCCGGTGTGATGCTCCGTCACTCGGGCCCCAAGCCAACTGGCCGAAGAACCAGGTGTTCAGGCTCTTGTGGAAGATCAGAAGGGTGGGAGAGATCTCACCTGAGAGGGGGAGATAAGATGTTCCAAAGGGCACAAGGCTTGGTCGCAGAAGGCCCTTCTCCTGGACCCCTCCAGCTGGAATTCCTTGATTGACGGGGCCCGCAGCATCCCTCCTCATGTACCTGCAGAGGTGGAACGGGCCAGTCCCAGTGGGATGAGACCCATGCCAGGCAAGGCTTCCAAGGTGATAACCACCACCTTGGAATATTGCATCCAGTTTTGATTGCCACGATATCAAAAAGACGTTGAAGCTCTTGAAAGAGAGCAGAGGAGAGCAACAAAGATGATTAGGAGACTGGAGGCCAAAACATATGAAGAGCGGTTGCTGGAATTGGGTAGGTCTAGTTTAATGAAGAGAAGGATGAGGGGGGACATGATAGCCGTGCTCCAATAACTGAGGGGCTGCCACAAAGAAGAGGAGGGGGTCAAGCTATTCTCCAAAGGACCTGAGGGTAGGAGAAGAAGATGGAAACTGACCAAAGAGAGAAGCAACATAGAACCAAGGAGAAACTTTCTGACAGTGAGAACAATTAACCAGTGGAACAGCTCGCCTCCAGAAATCGTGGGCGCTCCATCACTGGAGATTTTTAAGAAGAGACTACACAGCCACTTGTCCAAAAAGGTATAAGTTCTCCTGCTTGAGCAGGGGGTTGGACTAGATGACCTCCAAGGTCCCTTCTGACTGTGTTATTCTGCCATATCTCAAGGTGAAAGAGGCATGTGAGCAGGGTGGAGAAAAACCAGAAGGTGCCTCCAGAGGTTGTGTGGGTGCTCCATCCCTGGAGATTTTGAAGAAGAGACTGGACAGCCACTTGTCTGACGTGGTGGAGGGTCTCCTGCTTGAACAGGGGGTTGGACTAGATGACCTCCAAGGTCCCTTCCAATTCCATTATTGGGTTAATAACTTGAACTGCACCTGGAAGCAAACAAGCAACCATTGCATCTTGTGGAACCACGCTGTGCCATGGGTCACTCCAAGGGGGTTTGGTTCTATGTGTCCCTTGGAAGGACTGACCACCTTGGGCTGCAGGAAGGGGTTCAGCCTTGGTGGGGCAGCCCAGAGGCAAGAGGGGGGGGCTGGAGAAAGAGGTTGCAACTGAAGCCCCTCGTGGGTGGGTGGGGAAAAGCCCAGGTGAGGATTGTCACAATGACGCTCTCGTGCACTAATGGAGTCTGGCACTTCCCGCACAGAGGCTGGCCTGACGCTGCTGCTCGCTGACCGTGCGCTGACCCTGAGGACGTTGCACCTGCGCGGCAGCCGGAGGCCAAGGAAGACCCTTGTCCCCGGCCCTGTGGGCAGCTGTGGGGCATCGGAAGAAGCAGCCGATGCCAAGCCAGGAGACACATCCGAAGCATCAGCCAGGCGCCTCCCTCTCTATGCGCACTGATGGCGACCTGACCTTCAGGCTGTGGGCGGAGGGAGCCGCAAGGGCACGCCCGTTGCAGCCTGTGGCACACCGCCAGGCAAGAAAAGCATATTTGTACCCCGGACTTTGGAGAATTCACCTGTGCCTGGAGGTTTGTTTTGGAGAAGGATGCCAATCACCCTCTTTGAGGGCACATTTGCTCCCGCAGCCACCCTGAGCTGCCTCTTCTCTGCCCTCAGCTCTGGGCAGTCCTCGCTTCAGAATGACAAGAGCTGGAAGGGACCTGGGAGGCCTTCTAGTCCAGCCCCCTGCTCAAGCAGGAGACCTGACACCCTTTCAAACAAGTGACTGTCCAGTCTCTTCTTAAAAACCTCCAGAGATGGAGCACCCATGATTTCTGGTGGCAAGCTGTTCCACTGGTTAATTGTCCTCACTGTTAGGAAAATTCCCCTTAGTTCCAGGTTGCTTCTCTCCTTATTTTCCATCCATTGTTTCTTGTCCGGCCTTCAGGTGCTTTGGACAATGAGTTTAGAATAGAATAGAATAGAATAGAATAGAATAGAATAGAAATATAGAATAGAATAGAATAGAATAGAATAGAATTTAGAATAGAATAGAATAGAATAGAATAGAATAGAATAGAATAGAATAGAATAGAATAGAATAGAATAGAATAGAATAAGGAAATAAGAATATGCAGAATAGAATAGAATTTAGAATAGAATAGAATAGAATAGAATAGAATAGAATAGAATAGAATAGAATAGGAGCTGGAAGGGACCTTGGAGGTCTTCTAGTCCAGCCCCCCACTTGAGCAGGAGAACCTATCCCATCTCAGACAAGTGTCTACCCTCTTAAAAATCTCCAGTGATGGAGCGCCCATGATTTCTGGAGGCAAGCTGTTCCACTGGTTAATTGTCCTCACTGTTAGGAAATTTCTCCTTAATTCCAGGTTGCTTCTCTCTTTGGTCAGTTTCCATCCATTGCTTCTTGTTCTGTCCTTTGGAGAATAGTTTGACCCCCCTCTTCTTTGTGGCAGCCCCTCAGATACTGAAACACTGCTATCATGTCTCCTTTATTTTTTCTTTTCTTTAGACTAGCCAAACCCAAGTCCCGCAGCCGTTCTTCGTATATTTTAGCCTCCAGGCCTTGGATCCTCTTAGTTGCTCTTCTCTAGATTTTTTCCAAACTCTCCACATCTTTTTTGTGATATGGTGACCAAAATTGGCTGCAGTATTCCAGGTGTGGCCTCACTAGGGTTTTATAAAGCAGTACTAATACTTCACGTGATCTTGATTCTATGCCTGTTAATACAATCCTGGCTTGTATTAGCTTTTTTTGGCTGCGGCTGCACACGGCTGGCTCAGGGTCAAGCGATCGTCTGCTAGGACTCCAAGGTCCCTCTCACAGTTGCTGTTTTTAAGCCGGGTCTCGCGCAGTCTGTCCTTAAACCTTTGATTTTTCCTGCCTAAAAGACAGGAGGGTCCTACCACAAGCCCCTTCCCCCCAAAGGAGGCGAGGTCGGCTGAGGCATGGATGGCAGAGCTGAACCCCAAAGAAAGCCGGGCCCATCTTGGGGGTCCTGACTGCAGGAGAAGGAAGCCCACCGCCCTCTTCTCATTTCCGAGTGGGAAGCAAGGAGCCCCCCCCTTCTCCAGAGCTGCTGACGGGAGGGCAAAGGAGGCGGGGGGGGGTCTCCCCAGAGGCCCCTCACCCCCTTGTGCCAATCGGGGGGGGGAGTGAGGCTGAAATCACAGGTGTGAAGTAAGTTCGCCCGAGAAACAGCACTTCTCCATCTGCAGAGTTGCTTCGTTCCTCTTCTCGGCTCCGGAAAACAGCGGCTGGGGATGGTCCCTGGCGGGCACTGCTGCCTTCCTCAGCCACGAGCAGAAGAAGAAGTCGAGCGGAATCGGTTTCGGAGGAGAAAATGGGCAGGGAAGTGGGGAAGGGGGGTCCCCCAGGGATGGGCGAGGAGGG